ACAATTTAAAAAAAAATTAAGAGCTGGCTGGAGGGAAGGCCTGAATGAACAACCATGTTCATTCAGGCCTTCCGTCACCTTGGCCACAGAATCAGGCATTACAGTCTGAAAGGAGTCGAAAGTTACCGGGCAAGACGGAGCGCTGGATATCTCTGCTCGACTCACTGTATTTTAAAAAGGAGAGAGCTCCCGGCGGATGGCCTCCACTTTAGATTTAAAGAAGGCTGCAAACTGGTCACGTGAAAAACTAGGGGGAGCCCTATCACCTGAACCAGTTCTGGATAGGTCACAGACTATACGGAATAATTCCGCCTGCTGGTTGAACGCTTCGCTTATCCGGTTAGTGAAGAATGATCTACATGCAGCCTTTACCTTAGTCAGGTAAAGGTTAGTTGCGACCCTAACAGCTATCCAATTATAATCCATCGGGTTCTTCCTCCACCTACGCTCTAGCCTTCTCCTATACCGCTTCATCGCTCGAAGCTCCTGGTTGAACCAGGGCACAGGCCGAGCTCTGAGCGTTTAGGCGCGATCATTTCTATAGCCCTAGTGGCAGCGATGGACCAGCTGTCAACCAGAGCCTCGACAGGAGCGCCAGCCAGGTCAGCCGAAACACCTGTCATGGCCTCCTGGAATCCAACAGGATCCAGTAGCCTTTGAGGGCGGACCATAGAAATAGGTCCCTGCTCCCTGCGAGGGGGGAGTGCCATTTTATTAGATGGTGATCTGACCATGACAAGGGGACCGACACGAGGTCAGTCACCACCAGACCACACTCACTCCAATTGGTGGAAAAGACCAGGTCCAACGTATGGCCACCCACGTGGGTGGGGCCAATGACATGTTGGGACATGTTCAAGGAAGCCATGGTTTCCAAGAACTCAAGAGCTAGCCCTGTAGTCTCTGCCCCCACATGCACGTTGAAATTACCCAAGACAAGGAGCCTCGGGGATCCCAACAGTGCCGCGGAGACAAAGTCGGCCAGATCCAGTACGGAAGTGGCTGGGTCGCGGGGAGCGCGGTAACCCAGCAAAATCCCAATACCATCCCTAGCCCCTATTGACACGTGGAGTGCCTCTAGACCTGGCTTTACCACCGAGGAGTGCCTAGTAACCTCTAAGTTGGATTTGTAAACAATGGCTACTCCCCCCGCCCCTCCAGTCTACCCTGGTGCTGGATGGCATAACTGGGCGGGCAGATGAGGGCCAGGGGAGGACCTCCCTCCCCGCTAATCCACGCCTCGGTTATGCATGCTAGGTCTGCATCCTCCTCCAGGATGAAGTCGTAAATCACCTGGGCCTTATTGGACACAGACCTGGCATTCAACAGCAGCCGGGATAGAGTGGAAGACTGGCTGGGCTGACTACCTCGATACTGGGAGTTGGACAGGTGTCAGACAATGGACAGCCTTCAAGCATCTGTTCATCGTTCTTCTGACAAGCAGCAGGGATAGAGTGGAAGGCTGGCTAGGCTGGCTACCTCGATACTGGCGGTTGATCACAGTCTCAGAACAATGAACGACCTTCAAATATCTGTTCATCGTTCCTCTAACACGAGTAGGGACTGTGCCAACGCCATATCTCCCTCTACCCATGATCACAGAGATGTTAGAAGGCCCCTCGCTGGGCAAGCAGGCCTTCCACTTCATATCCAGGAAAAGGAAAGAGAAAAGAAGAATTATTTAAATTATTAAAACAAACAAACTTAGGCACAAGAGAAATACATAAATCAAATATATACATAAATCAAATATATACTATAAAATAAAGAAAATAAAAAAAGCAATAAATATCCCAAATTATAAACCCCAGGTGTATAAAATTAAAATACATTTTTGAGGAATCACGTGCTAAGCCCCACATATAGTCTTGATCCTCCCTCCTCCTCCACACGACCTTGTCTATTCAGTATTGCAGATTTCTATGTTATTTTTAGTGTTGTTAAAACTGATGTTAAAGATGGAGTGAGAATATTACTCGTGGAGGATAACACAAAGGTCTTAATCATGAGCACAAGGGTGAGCAAAGTTGTTTCAGTCGCTGGCCCTTCCCCCCTCCCCCGTGGGAGGAGGCAGAGCGTCTCTGCAGATAGTCTGAAAAAGGGAGACTGAGCGAACCGGTCCTAGAAGAAGTCCCATCCCCTGGAGATCCAACATGGCGACCAGCCAGCCAGGGACCACGACAGCCAATTCACTCTCGCTCACAGTCACCCAGAGTC